TTTTTTTTTTTTTAAACGTACACAGTTAATTTAGCGCAAACAATTACAGTAGGATGTGTGCATTGCTTAGCTGTCTTGATTAGAATGGCAATTGAAGTTTGCAAGTTTGAACGGTTTCAAAGAGCGAAGGGCAAATATAATCTCTGATTTCTTAAGAATTGAGTGAGAATATGGTTTCCTAAGGAGCTTTGTGTCAGAAATGCTCTTGAAAGAACCATTTCGTCCAACGTTAGTCCAACATTTCTAAATGACTTTGAAAACTTCCTCAAAGTAATGCTAATGCAAACACTTCCATTCAACAACATGAGGGCGAGAACGAGAAAAAGCTTTCTTCGGGGCTTCAAAGCCTACAGCAAAGTTGAGGAGAATGAAGCAGATTGTTTCATCTGCCATTACTCTCACAAACAGACGATGGAAACTTTGAAAACTTGAGCTGACTGATTAAACAAAGAATTACAAATTGGAAACTGCAGGCAATCTCATTAATACTCAAAGCTAAGCCACCCCCTCAGTACAGAGATAAACAAATAAAGCAGGCTTTTGGGTTTAGTTGCAGAATTTCTGGCCCTGAAAGAGTCAGAGGGAATTAGAGAGGATCGCCAAGTATCTGAATCATCAAAATCCTCTCTGGTGGCCTTGTTTCAATCTTTCAATATTTGATCCATGTATTACGACACAAATACTCCATCTAACATCCCATAACACTCCTTAAACAACACAGTGAGAAAGATTAATGCTTTCTTATCCTGCCATGTCCTCTCAAACTTTTGATGATTGGCACAAAGTCTGGCCCCCATTGCAACTTTAGGATTTAAATACCAGGCCAAAAAACAACAAACCCATCCATTTAGATTCTAGCCTACCAAATTGGTAAACTCTTAGCATTTTTGTCTGCAATGTGCATCAGATGGTCCTTGAGAATGTTGTCTAAAGATCAGGTTTGTGCTTTCTCAGCAGACACTCATAAACCTTTAACCCACTTCTCTGACTCTCTTGGCTATTTCATGTATCATATGATATAATTTTCTGTGTTCCAAAATGCCTATCTTTGCATGAACAGGTTACTCTCCAACAACATTAATATAGTTTGAGATTTTCATATTTAAGATTATTATATAAATATTATTAATTACAAATATAATTTACATTGTAGTTTGGGTGTAGTTAATATATATTTTTATATATTAAATACAAATGTATAATTATATATACATATACAAAATACAAATAATATAATACAAAAAAACAGTGGTTTTAAATAAAATAAATAGATAATCAACAAATTGAATGGTTGTTTAATAAAAAAAAAAAAA